TCATCTTTTTATTAAGCCAATCCGAGTAACAAGTCCATACAGTGTACAAGAGGATTATTCCCCAGCATGTCAGCCTGGTCTACATAGTGAATTCTATGGGATTTAAGGCATGTGCCACCATGTCAGGCCCAAGAATATGCATTCTTATTCAGCTGCTGTTGTGTTTGGGGGTCATTGTAAAAAGCATCATTCAGATACTCTACTCCTCTCCCCTCACAGCTTCCTTGTCTCTGTTTCTTTTCCCTGGAAGCACTTCCTGCTTTTGTGGAATGGGTCGTGAAGCCCAGGTCCTGCTGTGCCCCTGAAGACTGCTGCTCTGCCCTTCTCACCAAGTATCCTCCCCCACCCAAACGTAAGATTCAGTGCCAGTGTGTCTGTGTCCGTGTGTGTGTGTCCGTGTCCAGTGTGTGTGTGTGTGTGTGTGTGTGTGTGTGTGTATACACATATGGTTTGTGAAGAAGTATGAGCCAAATCCTTAATCACAGTACTAGGGAACAAACAGAAGCAGGCAGATCTCTGTGAGTTCAAAGCCAGCCTAGTCTACGGAGTGAGTTCCAGTACAGCCAGGGCTAGAGAGACCCTAAACAAAACAAAAATGAAGCATGAGTCAGGCATGGTGGCATGCTCTTATAGTCCTGGAACCTGGGAAGTTGATTAAGTTCAAGATCAACCTAGGCAACATTTTAAAAACCCTGTTCAAACAAAACAAAATCTTCCACACTCCAAAAAGAGGGTCAGGAGAGTGTCTACCCTATTAGCAATAATAACTATATTAATTATCATAGGAGTGGGTTAGTTGTGAGCTATTTATTTACACGTATGGGTGCTTTGCCTGCTTGTATGTCTGTGCAGCATGTGTGTGCCTGGTCTCCTCAAAGGCCAGAAGATCGTGTCCAATACCTGGAACTGGAGTTAAAGACAGTTGTGAGCTGCCATATGGGTGCCGGCAACCACACCATAGGTCCTCTTCAAAAACAACAGGTGTTCTTAACTTCTGAGCCATTTCTCCAGCCCTAGTGAGCTCTTGATAGTTTTTTATTCTTGTTTTGCTAGACATGGTAGAGGATACCTGTAATCCCAGGAGACTGAGGCAGGAGGATTGCTGTTTAAGGTAACTGGTGGTCACAGCATGGCAAAATTCAGGAAGCAGAGAACAGGATAGAAGCAAGATAGGCCACAGCCCTCAAGGCCCATCTTCAGTGTCCCTTCTCTATCAGCCACGCTGTTAGAAAATAATTTCAGTGTTGCACAAAGGCACACACACAGTGAAGTAATTCAATTTTGTAAAAACAGGTGCACCGGAAGCCAAATGGGGCTGAGGTCGCAAGGACAAGCTGGCCTGTTCTTTATTCCAGGCTCAGGTGTTGAGTGGCTCAACTTTACAGTCTGATCGGCTAGTTACCACAAGGGGGACGCCCAGAGAATAAGGTCCTTGGCCCTAATGGGAACACTTGGTCCCAGTTAGCTGGAGCCTGGAGTAGGGCTTCAAGCGGACAGTTTGGTAGCAGCAACCCAGGTAATATCTGCCAACTCTGGGCTGAGCCAGGGCTCTTCAGGGAGCTGGAGCCTCCTTTTTCCATTCTGGCCAGCTTGGTTCTGCAGGGTATTTGTGTGTCATCTTGGGTGTGTGTGTGTGTGTGTGTGTGTGTGTGTGTGTGTGCCTGTGCTTTTGAACTTGGGCACATCAGGGCACCCCTCCATATTTCCGAATGTGGACATGGCCTCTGTGGCCAGGATTGTGCCACTGGAGGTGGGTATGCCTGTTTGCTATCCCGGAGTCAGAGTCAGTCAGTGTATCTCCTATGTGCCTCTCCTGCCCTCTTATGGGGCCCATGATTCTGAGCTCTGGCCAGACATCTCCTGAGGGATGAGAACCTTCTTCATGCCTGATCTTCCAGGGCTCTCTGGTTCCCATCTTGAAGCTCCCAGGCATCTGAGTCAGCCCCTTCCACTCAGCCTCAGAGGGCAAGTGGCTGGGAGCGCGGATGCAGGGGTGTGAACATGGCTCTGTGTCCCTGGATTCCAATATGGAGATGGACCCAGTCCTACCCATTCATTCTGTAAACAACCTGCAAATAGCCTTTAGCATTCCTCTTGTAACGAGATTAATCTTTATGAAATAAATTATATTTCCTAGTCCAATAAAAAAAACCAGAAAAAAAAAGAAAAGAAAAAAGAATAGGCCTTGTCAGGATAACCATCTTTGATAAGAAAACGCTTTCAACAAAGGGACCTTCCATAAAGCACCTGTACCACTAGGGGGCCAGCTACTCACAGTCTTTGAGGACATTATGAATTCAAACCATAACCATTGGTTTTCCTGGAATAATTAAAAAATTTTTCCACCCCTTCATAAACTTAGATCACTAGCCTAATATTCTGATATTTCCTGCCCAATATTCTGATCTTTTTTTCCATCATTCCCATGTATGATAGCCATGCCACAGCATAGGGTGATGCCAGTGCTCTCCTTCACTGAGGGCTCTAAAGATTGGGCTCAGGCCTTGAATCAGGAGTCGGCTTCACGCTGGATACTTTTGTCTTTTAAACAAGTAGAATGAGATTTCCTCAGTGGCATGGGAGTGCAGGTTACTTAGCACATCTAAAGAGGAAAAGAAGAAAATGGATCTTTTCTAAACGTTGCTTAATGGTTTTTTTTTTTTTTTTTTTTTTTTTTGGTTTTTCGAGACAGGGTTTCTCTGTGGCTTTGGAGGCTGTCCTGGAACTCGCTTGGTAGTCCAGGCTGGTCTCGAACTTACAGAGATCCGCCTGCCTCTGCCTCCCAAGTGCTGGGATTAAAGGCGTGCGCCACCAACGCCCGGCCCTCTTAATGGTTTTAACATACATCCTAGAAGAATCCTAAGTTCTAACTATAATACATAGCTCAAGATGAAAATTCAGCAAATAAAACACAACAAATTTATTAGGACTGTAACCCAGACATCCTTGATGCAGGCTATGTACTATTCTTTCCTACAAGGCTATAATGGTGCATTTTTGGGGGCTTTTTTTGTTTTGTTTTTTGAGACAGGATTTCTCTGTGTAGCCTTGACTATCCCGGAACTCATCCTGTAGACCAGGCAGGCCTCAAACTCAGAGATCCACCTGAGACTGCCTCTCAATGCTGAGGTCAAATGTGCTATTACTGCCCAGCAATGTTTTTTATTTTTACTTAATGTGCACTTGTGTTTTGCCTACATGTATGTCTGTATGAGGGTACAGGCTGTTGTGAGCCACCAAGTGGGTGCTGGGAATTAAACCCAGATCCACTACAAGAGGAGTAGTGCTCTTATCCACTGAGCCAGCTCTCCAGGCCCAGCACAATGGTTTTTTAAATGTCGTTCTGAACCAACACAACACAGAAAGGAACTGCTTATAGGTCCAAATGTTAGGATCCAACATAACAAGTTCAGAAACAATATTGATGGACTTAAAAGTTTGAGGAAGTGTGTGGAATGTCTTATTTAGTTATTGTATATATATGAATTGCTCATGCCACCTAGAGGACTTTCATTATATTGTTTGCTCTAAGTTCACATATACTGCTCTTGTCAACTTATTAAAACCATTGTTTTCTTTTTTTTTTTTTTTTTTTTGGTTTTTCGAGACAGGGTTTCTCTGTATTGTTTTGGAGGCTATCCTGGAACTAGCTCTGTAGACCAGGCTGGTCTCGAACTCACAGAGATCCGCCTGCCTCTGCCTCCCGAGTGCTGGGATTAAAGGCATGCGCCACCAATGCCCGGCTAAAACCATTGTTTTCAAAACAAAAAAAAAAAAAGTTGTGCTCAGGTCATCGGGCTCATACAGGAATTGCGCTACCCACTGAGCCACCTCGCCCAATGTTTTTGGTCTGTGTTTTTGCTGGGGTGGGGATATATATGTGCCTACGTACTTCCACAGGAGTTGGTTTCTGACTTCCATTTTGCAGGGTCTCTCCTCTTTTTGCTACTGTGTATTCCCTTAGGAGCTCCCAGGAAAATTCTGTCTCTACCGCCCATCTTTCAGTGAGTGCTGGGGTTATAGGTGCGCACCATTATCTGGATTTTAAAAAGGGTTCCAAAGATTAAAACTGGTTGTCTGGCTTGCACAGCTATTGCTTTACCAGCTGAGGCACCTGCAGTTTTCATTTCTTAGGACAGGGTCTCCCTCTGAAGCTCATGCCAGCTGCAACTCTTTCTGGAACCCAGGCTTACCATCTGGCTTTTGAGACAGGGTCTCTGTGTCCACCTGCCTTTGCCTCCTGAGTGCTGTGAACTAAAGGCTAAAGGTGTACGCCATCACACCAAACAATCATTCCTTAATTCTGCTCAGGATTTGGTAATCACAAAGGTACTCCAGCCCTACCAACGCACTCCTGCACCCAACCTCTCACCTGGGAGGGTGACTCTGCACCTAGTCTGTCCACTCCGCTAACTTAGTTAACATCAGTCCTATCTCCATTCACAACCTCACCCTGGCCAGCACCCCAAGAGCCATTCTGCCCAGACTTCCAAAAGCACACTGACACTCATCAAGTTTTCTATTGTTGTGATAAAACAAAACACAATGATCAAAGAACAACTTGGAGGAGGTTTATTTCATACTATCCCAAGCCTCAGACACCAACTGGCTCACAGATGGCCATGTGACCCAAAGCATATCCTGTGGACCCTGGAATGACTCTGGGTTTTGTAGCCCCGGAGACATACCTGACTGGATCAGATTCTCCCAAGAACTCTTTTGGGCTCTTTTCTGTAGCCGGGGACTTGGAACACAGAAACAGTAGTTAAGGCCTTTTGTTCTCATGGCCACTGGAAATTCAAATGGGCAGAAAGAGGTCAGTGGGGTGCCTCACCCCAACCTCTACTCCCCTGACTATGGCGCCTTCAGAAACATGAACACACACACACACACACACACACACACACCCTCACACTTGGGTACTTCAGAAACACACACACACACACACACACACACACACACACACACACACACACACACACACACACACACACACACACACACTCCCTCCCTCCCTCCCTCCCTCCCAGGGACTGGAAGACACTGTCCAACTTAAGGATGACACAAAAACATCCTGTAGGCACACAATCAGAGCCCTCACTGCGGCTCTGTGGTGCAAGAACAAGTCGGCCTCACACAGGAGACCCACAGCCCGTCACCGGCCGGCACAAGCTGCTCAGGAGAGGCCCGCGCGCTCCAGGTCCTGCGGCAGCACCCGGCCCTTCTTGCGGGCCTTCTGCAGCCGCCTCTCGGCCCGCGCAGCCTTCTTCTTGCGCAGGTTCTGGCGCCGCTTGTCCTGCCGCTGCTGCATCTTCTCCACCACGTGCTCTGAGCGCTTCTCCCACCGGCGCTGCCGCTGTGCCTTCCGCTTCTCCTTGCGCTTCAGGGCTTCCTGCAGCAGGTGCTCGTTGTCGCGGATCTTCACGCCCTCCGCCTTGTACAGCAAGTTGGTCCACTTCATCTTGGCCTCCAGCTCCTGGGCCTTGCCGGCGTCCTGCTCTCGAAGCTCCTCCAGGCGGTCCTGTCGCGCCTGCAGACGCTCCAGCAACTGCCTGTAGTTCCTGCCGGTCAGCGGGGTCAGGTTCCCTTTCACCTTCTGCCGCTTCTCCTTCCTGCGCTGGGCCTTGCTGGCTGGCTCCTCGTCGGTCACCTCCACCTGCAGGAAAGAGGTTCCTCAGTGAGACGGCACACAGGCTGACCGGTGACACGGCTTTTGTCCTGAGATGGGGGTCCCCAACATGCAGCTACACCAGGTGCAAAGCTAGGACATTGGGCTGCTCAGCCCGGACAGCCCTACCTTGTTAAAGATCAGTCCTGACTCCTGAGGCTCCTTGCAGGCCACTTCTGGGGGCGCCTCGGCTGGCTCCTCTTTTTTCTCAGTCTTTGCAGCCTTCTCCTTTGCTCGAAGTTCCTTCCGCTTCCTCTTCTTCCGTTCCCTCTCCTGCTTCCTCCGCTGTCGCTTCTCTAGTGTGGCAGCAGACAGCTCCTTGGTGCTGCCCTGAAAGTAAAAGATTAGAGGGAAAGGATGGGTCCTCTGTCTGGCACACGGCTGAGAGGAGAGGAAATTCTCATGCAGCTCACAAGTCCATGGTGGCCATGATCACCCAGAATATGACTGTTGCAACCCCGGTATGGTAAGGAAGCCCTAGTAAGAACCATGGCTCCAGTCCCCAGGCTCCCCGAATACCAGAGCACTCCATCTTTACATGGCCACCCGCCGTCCTAGAGTTCAGAATTAGGCTGGGTGTCTATGAGGGAGTGCCTGTTCTAACCACTGTATATTCTGCTCACGACAGACACAGACTGAGTGTCCCTTGTGCCATAGTCAGATAGCACCGTGTATCTGACCAACCCAGGCCTATGCTGCAGAACAGAAGGTCTTGAGCCTTGATCCCCTCTTAGGAGCTTGGAGATGGCAACTGGCATATATTGGGAGGGTGAGAAGAAAAGAGAATTAGAAGGAGGGGGCAGGGTAGCCAGTACCACGTAGCACTAAGTCAAGGCTAGTCAGGTCACCTCACTTATGGACACCGACAATTCAGGCTATACTCTACCCATGTGGCATCAGTGGAGGCAGCTCCCCAAAGGAAGCAGAACATGCTTCTGAGGGACACAGAACATCTCAGGAGGCAGATGCCTCTGGGGACTGAGGTACTCCAAGAAAGGAACTACACCTGCTAACTCAGCCAAGAGGTACACTGTTGTGAAATATTAGTTAAATGTGTGTCATATTCTTTTATGCTGCATTTGTTTAACTCTATAAAATTGTGTTACTTTGCCTGTCTAAAACACCTGATTGGTCTAATAAAGAGTTGAATGAAGCCGGGCATTGGTGGCGCATGCCTTTAATCCCAGCACTCAGGAGGCAGAGGCAGGTGAATCTCTGTGAGTTCTAGGCCATCCTGGTCTACAGAACAAGTTCCAGGACAGCCTCCAAAACAATACAGAGCAACCCTGTCTCAGAAAAAAAAAAAAAAAAAAAGGTAGAAACAAGCCAAGCTAAGGTTAGACATTCATAAGAAAGAATAAGTCTCTGAGTATTTATTAGAAAGCTGGGTAGTGAGCCCCCGAGAGAAATGGGGAGGAAAGCATTGTACTTCCAGGTGCTCAGGAAGACTCCCCCATTTACCTGGCCCCGGGCCAGCTGGATCTTCTCATGCAGCCGCTGTCTCAGGAAGTCCAGTGCAAACACAGAATCGGGTGCTGTGACTTGGCTATCTGCAGGGAAAAAAGGAGACTAGGATGAAAGGGGACTTCCCACCACCACTTCCCCCTTCCTCCCTTCCTTCCTCCCTCCCTCCCTCCCTCCGTGCTGCTTGTGGATTTACAGGCCACCCAGCTCCTTTAAGACAGGTAGCTAACAACTGCACCATAAGGCTGGTCACTACGACATTAGAGAAACAGTGTTCGTTGTCACCTTGCCATCTGGCTGCCATGCGGCACAGGCATCAGGAGCTCTTATGCCCTGTCTGCCATTCTGCTCCTGTGATCTCCCTTCACTGAAAAGTCTTGTAGCATTACCATAACCCTTTTGAGCAGTGGGGACATTTGCCCCTGGGCCCCATCCCAGCCCTGACCATGCATGTTTTGGAGCCTCTCACCTTTAGGGGACTCCAGGGAGCTGGAGTTCTTCTCTTGTTTAGATCCCATTGGTTTCTTGGCCGTGGAAGAGGTAGGAGCCGTCTTCCCGAGGGGCTTAGTCTTGTGCTCTGGAGCTTTCTGTTCCTGCTCCTGAGATTTCTTTTGTGCTTTCTTCCTCTTCTTTTTTGGGGGCCCGGCAGCTTCCAAGCGTTTTGTTTTGGCAGCTGAAATGCAAAAGAAGCTGAATCCCTTCTCTCTACCAGTTCAGCAAAGGCAACCAGTAATGCAAAGGACCAGGTGACTAAGCCAGTGCCACCTGTCCAGAGCTTAGCGCCACCAACCGCCTGGGCAGCAGGTGGCCACACATCTGTAATCCCAGCATTTGGAGGCCAAGGCACGAAGATTGCTGAGGCCAGGCTGGACTACACAGCAAGACCCTGTCTCAAAAAAACAAAACAAAACAAAAATTTTTTTAAGCAAACTACACTCACACACCAGACCCAGCAGAATGCACATGAGGAACAGAACACCAAGTCTGGTTTCAGGTTGGTCATCATCACATTATAAATATAAACACCCACTTCCAGGAACAAATGGTGGGGCTGCTACACTTTCTCCTCACTGCCCCAAACTGAACACTGGGCTCATGGATAGCCATTTCCTCCTAGATAAAATCTTCCACTTTGGAGGAAAGCTCCTTAAGCTCAGGAATTAAAGACCAAGGCTTCAGGAGGTCCTGGAACTGACCAGACTCACTAGCCCCTTTTTTCCCCCAGCATATACAAGAGGAAGGCCAAGTGACATTTAGTCAAGCAGGACCACATGGATAGACACTCTCCAACCTGTTGAGCTGCCTGCAAGTTGTGCAGTATACTCCAGGTTCCTCGTGTTTTGAGAGCCATCACCCGGGCTGGGGTGGGCTTTGGGTGATACAGTTATTTTTAAATCACGTCTGCTCTTGAATGTCACCACAAAGCTCACTGGCTAATCACACTGGCTTTCAGTAGTGTTCATACTCTGGGCTGTCACTGCTGTGTCTGCAGAGACTGGATTGCAGGGATGTGGAGAGGCTGGAATGTTGCAGGCCCAGAGGATCATTCTTATCTCAGGTTAGCGTCAATCCCATGGATAATCCGTTCCTTGCCCACCTTTATGTCTGTGACTGACAGATAAAAACCTTTTATAATCTATTGATTTAGCAGATCAACCTAAAAGTTAAGAATGTCATCAGCACCAGGCATGGTGGCACACACCTTTAATCCCAGCAATCTGAAGATGGAGGTAGAAGAAGGCAGATCTCTGAGTTGAGGACAGCCTGGTTCTCAACAGAGTGAGTTCCAGGTCAGCCAAAGATAAAGAGAAAACCCGTCTCAAAAAACAAAAATGGGCCGGGCGGTGGTGGCACACACCCTTAATCCCAGCACTCGGGAGGCAGAGGCAGGCAGATCTCTGTGAGTTTGAGGCCAGCCTGGTCTACAGAGCAAGTTCCAGGACAGCCTCCAAAACAATACAGAGAAACCCTGTCTCGAAAAACAAAACAAAAAACAACAACAAAAAAAGGGCTCAGAGGTTAAGAGCAGTAGCTGCTCTTCCAGAGGTCCTGAGTTCAATTCCCAGCAACCACATGGTGGCTCACAACCATCTGTAATGAGATCCGGTGTCTTCTTCTGGCCTGCAGGCATATGCGCAGGCAGACACTGTATACATAAGTAAATCTTTAAAACAAAATGTCACAAGCCGGGCGTTGGTGGCGCATGCCTTTAATCCCAGCACTTGGGAGGCAGAGGCAGGCGGATCTCTGTGAGTTTGAGGCCAGCCTGGTCTACAGTGCTAGTTCCAGGACAGCCTCCAAAGCCACAGAGAAACTCTGTCTCGGAAAAACCAAAAAACCCCCAAAAACCAAAAAACAAAATGTCACCAGCATCTGGGCCTAGAAAAGCTTCTCTCATCTTTGCTATAACCACCTGATGTGCACACCAATGTATTTTAAACTTGCCTTGACTTTCTTTGTTCTGTAAAACTGCTTCAAGAACATTTTGTGTTGGAAACTGGAATTTGGGGTTAACCCAAATCTGTGTTACAGTCATTCAAGTGGGCTCCAGAATAAACTATTCTATTTAAGGTGAAGGCTATAGGTTTCTGGGATTCACAGTTATCTATCCACCTTGCTTCTGTTTGCCAAGCCCTGGCATTAAAGGCATGTGGTCCACGATTGCCACTGCCCACCCCGCCCCCACCTCAAAAGACTCTGAAAGACCCCTACCCAGGGCCCCCCTAGGAAAAGAAAAGCAAGGCCAGGCCGTTGCCTAATGAAAGAAACCCAGACCAGGTGTCTCACCCTCAAAACAGGATGTCTGTGATCACTATAGCAGTCATGGGACCCGGATAATAATTGCTGAAGCGTGCTGGGAACTTTCATATGACAATACTAGAAAACCTAGTCCTTGGCAACTACCCTGGCCCCCAATTGTGTCTGATCACTATAGCAATCATGGGACCCGGATAATAATTGCTGAAGCGTGCTGGGAACTTTCATATGACAATACCAGGACACCTAGTCCTTGGCAACTACCCTTGCCCCCAGTTGTGTCTATGATCACCATAGTAGTCATGGGACCAGGATAATAATTGCTGAAGTATGCCTGGGTCTTTCATAAAGTAATACCAGGAAACTTAGTCCGTGGGAACTACCCCTGCCCCCAAGATGAGCCAATGAAATGCCTGTTACTTATGTAACCATTGAAACTCTATAAATATTGTACTCCCTAAAAGCCCGGTATGCTCTGCACCCGAGTTGCAGTAGCATCCGCAGGCGTCTGTGTACTCAATAAATCACCTCTTGCATTTGCAGCCAGTGGTCTGGCCCCGGTTCTTGGGCAGACGGTTCGGTTCAGTTCCCGGCGCTTTGATGCTGAGGTTTTTCAACTCATTTACTCTTTTTTTTTTTTTTTTGGTTTTTCGAGACAGGGTTTCTCTGTGGCTTTGAAGGCTATCCTGGAACTAGCTCTTGTAGACCAGGCTGGTCTCGAACTCACAGAGATCCGGCCTGCCTCTGCCTCCGGAGTGCTGGGATTAAAGGCGTGCGCCACCAACGCCCGGCCAAGACTCATTTACTTTTTTTTTCTTTCATTTACTCTTATTTTATGAGTGTTCTTAAGTATGTATGCCTGTGGATCATAACCGTGCCTGGTGCCATTGGAGGCCAGAAGAGGATGTAAGATTATTCCCCTGGAACTGGAGCTAGGGATTTAGGGACTGTTGTGTGCTGCCACATAGGTGCTGGGAACTTGTTATAAGAGTAACAACTTAACCGCTTAGCCATCTCTCCAGCCCCTCTTTTTCCTTCCTGAGAGGGTTTCTGAAGTTGCCCCGCAGAGGTGAACTTACCACGTAGGCCCCTGACAGGCCTGCTGGTTTCTCAGTCTCCCCACCAACCAGGCCCAGCAGCAATGAACTCTTTATGATGAGAGAGGTATTTCCTCTTCCAACGACGAGGAGGAAATGTTAGCATTTTTAAACCAAAAAAAAAGCCCAAAAATGGAGTGTACATTCTTCCAACGCATGGAGCACACATACAGACAAGACGCACAAGCCGGTAAGAAAACTCGGCGACCTCGTCACGCTTCATTAGCGAGCACGGTTTTTTTTTTTTTCCGTTCGAGTCTGGTAGTTCCCTAAGTACCTTCCCCTCCATCAGGGCCCGGTGCCCTCAGGACCCGTAGTTGTCCCCGCTAGTACCCGCTCACTCCTGTGTCACGCGTGGGGGGTCCCGACCCGACCGACGGCACCCACGCCCAAAGGCTGCCTTACCCCACTGGTTCCTCTGCCGCTCGGGGCCAGGCTGTGCGCAGATCTTCTTGGCCAAGCCCTGCAGGTAAGCATCCTTGGCTTGCAAAGAGGCCATGGCTGGACACCAGTGCGCTCAGCACACGGAGGTTCCCACAGCCCTGCGGGCCGCCGGGAGCACCATGTACGCAGGCGCGGATAGCCAAGCGCTCGATTGCCGAGCCTGACCGCGCCGGAAGTACCGCATGCGCAGGCGCCGTTTAGCTATTCGGTCTTGGAAGCCACAGTGTACGCAGCAGCCGCGACCCACCCGGAGCTCGATTAGCCAGGCCTGAGGGGTCGGCCAACCCTTAACGTGGAGGCGTGACTCGGAAAGATGCCACCGGACTTAGGCTGAACGCTCCGGGACTCCAGTCCGGCCCTCTCCGCCTGGCAGAACGGAAGCCACTCTAGCTCCCTCCCTACTGCCGGCCTTAAGTTCAGACGTGGCCTGGTGGTGGGGGGATGAGATGCCCAGCACCCCACTGCCACACAGACCAAAACAGACATAAAAAGACGTGTGGCGGGAGGGAGCAGCAACCGGAGACATGAGTATGGCGCGGATCCCAGATTACGTGCAGCAGCCATGCATCTCAGTTTTGATTTTATTGGACCTTGAGGCATGAAAAATGCCTTGCAGATGACGTTGAAGGCGGAGGAAATGGAGGGAAAAGCGAACCTCTAGTAGGATCTGTATGGGCCTTGCTATACACAGTTTTGCTTAGGTCAGTTAAAGCTCGTGAAAAAAGGTGACACAGAATTTACATCATTCACCGGTGACTCTGAGTGTCTAGAGAACTGGACCCCCGCCATCTCTCCGAGGAGCTCTGCCCCAGCCACACAAACTGGAGAAAGGTGGTGGTGCCCTTTAAATGAGAAGCTTCACTTTTAAATGTGGACAGCAGAATAAAACACAAGAATCTGTTCTTCATTAAGGTTTCTGGAAAACCTCCCGAACCCTTGCTTCTAGTGTTTTACCCCAACCCCTCCACCCCGTGGCTAAGCTTTCTCTGTGACAGAAGCCCTTCCAGCAATTAGCACACTGCAGACATCACTCTGATGATAAAGACCCTCACCGGAGCAGTGACTCCCACCTAGCTACCCACTTGTGGTGCTATCTTGTTTGGCTATGCAGGTGCTGGCCCACCTGGTGACCTGGCCATGTTCCTCATAAACCCGGAATGACTACTTTCATGAATGGAGCATGCTGATGATAGAAGAGTGACAAGCCGAAGACAGACAGACAGACAGACAGACAGACAGACAGACACACACACACACACACACACACACACACACACACACACACACACGTCCCAGTACCATAGTTTCTGTATGTCAGTGATGAGCCTGGTACTGAATGGGGTCTGAGTTCCCAGTTGTTTCTGCCACTGAATTTCTCATCCTGTGACTCTAGGTATGACACACCCTTCCAAGCTCATGCTTGGATTCCAAGATGCAGGCATGATAGTGCTAAGTTGGGGTGGCAGAAATAGGCGGCACCAAAGATACAGGGGTGCAGTCACATAACTTGCAGTAATGGCAGATTTTCATTCATTTACCAAATGCCAAGAACCTGCTAGACGCTGTTATACAAGGAGTGGGGGCTGTTGTTCAAGGAACCCAAGGGCAATCTTGGACTGCTGAGGAAAGAAGGATGAACAACACAAAAAGGTAATGTTTTATTCAACAGTTTCATCACAAAAGTAGCAGACTGGGAATCGTAGCAGACTCCAGGGAGACGCCCTGGCTAGCTGCCCCTCACAGTCTCGCTAGGACTGTCAGCTGTGGCACAGACAATTATGATCCAGGCACCGGAAAGTGGGCAGGGCTCTTTACGCAGGAGCCTGAGCCAAGGATGGGGGGCTGGATTTGGCTACGGTCCACTGAGCACCTTCCAATTCTAAACAGCAAACTGAGGCTGTCTTCCTATCACCAGCCACCCTCCCTACTCAAGGCCCTCAATGGGACGAGCTCCCATCTGGCAGTCACAGAGGTAGCCCCTATAGATGAAGGGCCACCTGCAGGTAAATAACTGAACAGCATTCCCCAGTTATCACAGGGAACTGGCCCTGGCCTGGCCAGGTTCCTGAGGCTGGCTACAGGGGCTCCTGATCATGAAGTCCCCAACTGGGAGCTAAGATGGTGGGCATCCACAGGACTTCCTTTCCGATAAAGTAGGGCCCTGGGGAAGGCACCCCAAGAGGCTCAGGTGTGTTCTATGGGACCAGGGCCACCACCATGGGAGTGGGCAGAGGCTGCAGACTGCAGGGGACCAGCACCAGTCTCCGGGGACGCCAGAAGAGGGGCTGAGAGGCCGTCAGCGGAATCTGTGTCGAGGTCCAGCCTCCAGTAAGCTTCACACAGAGGCAGGTCATTAGCTTCGCAGAGACTTGAGCTTTGCCACAAGAAACCCCCAGGAGTGACAGGAGCAGGCAGAGGAAAGCCAGGGAGGGGAAAGCAAGACAGATGCAAGAGTTAAGAAATGAACATCACCTGATTGCCTCCCCTTCCTCTCCTCTGGGCTGACCCCTCTGCTACCAGTTCTGGCCACACGCGCATCCAAAGAAAGACGGCGTCAACAGGCCATGGGACTTAGGCAACTCTCCCCACGGGCCACATGGCCTTCCTGACACTGAGGACTCCCCTAGTCCTTGTGGGTCTCCTTCCATCCTGACCACCCACCTCTTATAGTAGGGTAGGGAAAACACTTTACAAAGAGCTCATGGTGGCAGAAACCTGTGTCTGTCCCTATCAGGGACTTGCCTAACGCTGTTCCTTGTCAGGAACAGAGAGATCCGGGCATTTCGCTACACACCACTGCTCTAGCCCTATAGCACCAAGCCCCAAGTTTCAGGCACTCCACTTCCCCACGTTACACAGGGAAGAGGTGGGAAAAGGCAAGGATTAAGCCTTAATGATCATAGCGGTGGTTACCTGCAGCACATCTGTCTGCACAGCTGTCTAATATGCACGAGGCTCTGGCCCCACACCTGCCCCAGCAGTCCCTCTCAGAACTATTCAAAAGAGTAGCATCCCCAGGTGAGAGGAGGGGAGGCAAAGCCAGAATTAGCAAGCAGTGAGTGTATAGGCAGGAGTAGCTGTGCAGAGGGGAAGCTGGCAGCTGGCGGTGGCGCGGGCATGAGGCTGATCGGGGCAGATGAAACAAACGCACTGTGACCCCTGCACGGAAGAGCCCTGCCATTTAGGGTGGTTCATAGGTAGAGGGGCAGCTACTTTACCATAAGAAATATGGAAAAGGTGACTACCCAAAGGGGACACAAGTTGTCCCAGAAGCCCATGCAGGTGATGTAGAGGGACTAACCGAGGCTTTGGAAACCTGGCACTCTTGTCTTCCCAAAGCTGACCCACCCAGGGGTCCTTAAAGCAGTACCTGTCTAAAGGGTAGTGACAGCAGGAAGATGTGAAGGAATTCATTCTGGGTGAGTGTAAACCTCTGTCTTTTGGGGGGTAGAGGAGATAGTCCCATTTGTTTGCTAAGCTGATGAATAATGGGACCGAGGACAGCCCCAGAACTCTCTGGAAAACTTTAGAACTGTTCCAGCTGAGTCTATGATGGGACACCAAGCCCTTGACCACATACCACCTGGCTCTGGACACCTGTGGCTCCTTCTGCAGCTTCTGTGCAGCTGGAGAAGCAAATCTACCACCAGGGGAAAACAGGTTTGCCTGGGAGAGGGTGCTGCAGGACAGAACCTTAATTTCAAGCTAAAGAGATGTGAGCAAGGCCTCCATTCCCCAGCCTCAGTTTCCCACATGTTTCACATTGTATTGTTGATTTCTCAAGGCCTCTCTGACTCGGAAAGTATTAGGTTTCAGGTGGCCCTGTAGAGGGGCTAGGTGACAGATGCTACCTGCTGCTATCCTCTGGGGCTAGCTAGACACCAGGAGGCTGAGCTGCCTAGAAACAGGACATACAAGTATCCAGGCCCAGTTCTTAAAGCCACTTTGCTTGAGCTCCTTCCTGCCCTTCTCCCAGTGTCCCCTGCCTCTACACTGTGGAATTTGATGATACACAGGGAACCAACTCTCTGAGCAAGCAGTAGCAGTGGTGGCCTGGAGAGTGGACATAGTTACAGACCCAAAAGGCCACAGGGGGCCAATCCAGCCTTGGCTGAAATATCTAGACAGATTTAGAGCAGTGAGGTAGAGACTGCACTGCCCAGGAGGGCTTCCTCGCCCCCTGGGGAACGCCTTTCTCTGCCCTCAGCCGCTGACACCAAGTCCTGTGATTTTTCACCCCACTTCATTGAGGGGATGGCCTGGGCACCAGCTGGTGGCTGGTTCTGAATGTCCATCAACGCTCTAGTCAGGGGCTCTGCTGCCAAGGAGGACTTGGAAAAACACAAGGCCCTTGCAGGCCCTAGCTGGCTTGGGCAGGCAGCAGGTATCGCCTGTATGCAAGTCCAGCCCTATTTGTACCTGGACGAGTAGTACTCCTCCTCCAGCTCATAGAGGTCGATGGAGACCTCATCCCGCAGGGTGATGAGCTTCCGATCACACTCTTCCTGCAGGGCACGCAGCTGCTGGTTACGCTGGTCGATGGCTTCATTCACAGAAGGGAAGTCATTGAGGATCAGGAACTGCTTGAGATCAGATACCAGCTTCATCAGTGACTCGCCAGCTCGGACCTGCCAACATCATGGTCAGGGTAAATATGAGAGGAGGTGGAGACGGTGGCCCTGCCCTGTGTGACCGGTGCTAGGTCAACAGTGGGTTTTCTGGACATCTCAACTTCATGATCCACAAAGAAAAGTACCAGCCTACACAGAGCCATCTGTGAGGGCAGAGGAGCGAGCAGACGAGATCAGAATCCGCCTACAAGTGGAATAAGTTTGCCCACTTCAGGGAGCTTTCCCTCCCCAGCCGCTCAGACCATGTACACGTCCTGTGCACTCAACTCGAAGCCAACAGAAGTGTATGCCCTGGGTCTCCTCCTGACTCATTCTTTCCCAGACATGGTACAACTGCAGGTTGTCATCTGCTGGTACCCGCTGCACAGATACTGGTCTACAGGCTTTCCCTGTAACACCCAGAGGGGCTCATGTCTCACATGGGATCCACTCAGCCATTTGCCTTTCCATTCACAGCCAGCCTTGGGGAACCTTCATGTCAGCAAGAATGGCTGCCTTCCTCCTGACTACTATACAAGATGGACAAGGTCATCTATTTGCCCCCTGTCCCCACCCCATGCCCACTGGGGGCAATCTCCTAAAATGTGGTCTGCCCCACCCCACTGCTCCGAACTCCATCCATGACCCCGACAGGGGTGTTTTCCACCCCGGCCACTCACGATGTTGGCAGCTCGCACGTGCATCTCGTAATTGTCCTGTTCACCCTGAGTAGCCCGAGACACCTGCGTCTCATCCTCGATCTGGGGACAAATAAGAAAGCCTAGAATCAACATAGGCAGCCTGACTTAGCCTGGCTCACAGGAAGCCAACAGGTAACAGCCACCACCACCCTGAGTGCCACCACCACAGCCTGTCTGTCAGGTCTTCCCACACAGACAGCACACTGCTCTCTGACAGCTGGCAATGTCCACTCCAACCCCCTCTTGTTCTGTGGGCGACAACAGGTGACTTCCTCACATCAAAAGGACACTGCCAAGTCTTTCTGAAAAAGTTTACACCACATAAGATGTTCAATAAGTCAGGCAGTGGTGGCGCACGCCTTTAATCCCAGCACAGGAGAGGCAGAGGCAGGCGGATCTTTGTGAGTTCGAGGCTAAGCTGGACCGACAGCCTCCAAAACAATACAGAGAAACCCTGTCTCATAAAAAAAAAAAAAACCAAAAAAAAAAAGATGTTCAATAAAGGAGTAAAAAGACAATTTTTGATCTTTGTTTTTAAGGCAGAGTCTCATGTAACCCAGGCTGGCCTGAACTTCTGATCCTCCTGCCTCCACTTCCTAAGCTCTGACAACAGGTAGTTAATTCAGTGCTAAGGACTCAACACAGGGCTCCGTAGCTGCCAGGCAAGCCCTTTACAACCCCAACAACATTCCCAGCCAGAAAGTGCCTTTTCAAGTGACCCCTCCGGGGCAGGCACCAGCTAACTAAGCAGGGAGGGCTTCCTCAAAAAAGCCTAACTGGCCGGGCGTTGGTGGCGCACACCTTTAATCCCAGCACAGAGGCAGAGGCAGGCGGATCTCTGTAAGTTCGAGACCAGCCTAGACTACCAAGTGAGTTCCAGGGCAGCCTCCAAAGCCACAGAGAAACCCTGTCTCGGAAAAAAAAAAAAAAAAGCCTAACTGCTGTTCTCAACTTACAGATGGACCAGCTAGAGACTGACAGAGACAGTGGTCTTGTGGCATCTCGGAAATACAGAGCAGCAGTTCTCAGCGTTGCGATTCATAACAGCTGCATATGAAGCAGCAACTAAAATAATTTTATGGTTGAGGGTCACCACAATATGAGGAACTGTATTAAAGGATCAAACTCACCTGTCATCACAAGAATCTACGGCATGGGGGAAACTCAGCCCAGGTGGCCAGAGCCCAGTAACTGAAGTCGAGCCCTGGTCAATTCCTCTACAAGGCCCTACCTGCACTTGTCATTACTTACTGTTTACCTGATGTTTACTTTTGACGCCTCGTCGCTTCCACCCGCACCGGACAGACATTCCCTTTGCATCCCCACCCCTGCAGCTGAATCTAGACACCCAAGTACCCAGACGCCAGGGAAAGCCTGTCCCTGCCTTCTCCCATGGCTTCGGAACAGCGACCACGGACCTTGGCGGTCTTGATGATCTCCGTGAAGTTGTCCATGATGGACTTGATGTCGTCTTTGAGCCGCTTGTTGTAAGACTGCAGCAGCGTCTCCTTGCTCTGGGGCAGGGCTCTCTGCTGGGCCATGGCAGAACCAGGGTGAGAGCCAGAGTCTGGTCTGACCTGGGGAAGCGGGGGCTGACGCTACATCAGCTCCCTCCGCAAACACAAGCCTTGCAGCGGGCCGGGCGGACGCAGGCGCACAGCGCCCACTCCCACACGCGGGTTTTGTTCCCTACTCCAGCCGCCCGCCGTCACTAGAGCCTGCAGTACCTTTCCTGCTTCTGCCGCCCTCGGCGAACGCGCAGCCGCAGCTCTGCACGCCCCGGTTCAGGCCCCGCCCCCGCCGGCAGAGCGCGGTGTGGTCCTGCCGCTTTAAATTCGAAGTCTCGCGCAGGCGCCAGCTCTCGCGATCTCCGCGGTCTCTTACATATTACCCACAATCCCTTTTCCTTTCTCTCTCTTCACCAGCCGAGCAAGATGGTGAGTGATCGCGGCGCCCGGCGTCATCCGGCTCCATCCGCCGCCCGCCGCCGTCTCGCGGGGTCCGCGGCCGCCCCCGGGGCTTCGGGCCCCTTCGCTGGCAGGGAGCGGGAGCGAGCGACGTCGCCGTCCGGTGGGATGGGGACGGCGGGAGCCACCGGCTCACGGGGCTTCTCTCTCCTGTGCAGCCCAAGGGAAAGAAGGCCAAGGGGAAGAAGGTGGCCCCGGCCCCCGCCGTCGTCAAGAAACAGGAGGCCAAGAAGGTGGTGAACCCTCTGTTTGAGAAGCGGCCCAAGAACTTCGGCATCGGTGAGCAGCGGGCTCGGGCTCTGCCGGGGACGGGGCGGTGGTCGGGGCTGCGGCGCGCTCCGCCTGGGGAGCCGGGCGCGGTGAGCTGCGAGGCCGCCGCGGCGTTCGGGTCGCCCCCGCGGGCTCTGCGGCGTTGTGTGCAGATGATGTAAAAGAATATTTGCTATCCGAGACACGGTGATGACGTTCGAACCACCAAGATCGCTGATGCACCAGCGCCTCCCCGGGGGCCCGGGGCCCGGGCCGGCGCGGCGGGGACGCCTCAAACGCAGTGTCCCTCTTTGCTTCCCAGGGCAGGACATCCAGCCCAAGAGGGACCTCACACGCTTCGTCAAGTGGCCCCGTTACATCCGGCTGCAGCGGCAAAGGGCCATCCTCTACAAGCGGCTCAAAGTGCCCCCCGCCATTAACCAGTTCACCCAGGCCCTGGACCGGCAAACAGGTGAGGTTCTGGGCCACAGGGCCAGAGTCCAGGGAGTGGGAATGGTGCTGAGGCGCGCTTGCTGAGCGAGCATGAGGCCTGGGGTCTCCAAAATGTGTGCTGCTCAGAGGGCCGCCACACGGGCCTGTGATGCCTTTTAAGTGACAGGCGTTACAATTGGGTCAGAGCGAGAGATTGCTGGCCAAGCAGCCACAGCCCACAGGAAGCTGCGGAGCAGACCTAAAGAGCACATGAGTCTGGAGTCTAACTGAAGAATATTTTCCCAGCTACCCAGCTGCTTAAGCTCGCCCACAAGTACAGGCCAGAGACAAAGCAGGAGAAGAAGCAGAGGCTGCTGGCTCGTGCTGAGAAGAAGGCTGCTGGCAAAGGGGACGTCCCCACTAAGAGGCCACCTGTCCTGCGAGCGGGTAAGCCATCCCCTGGGACAAGAAAGCTGTAGCAGGCTGTGCGATGATGTGTGAATTTCTTCACCTGACATCACTGAAGAGTAAAATCGAGCTTTTTAACCCTGAGTCACAGCTTGGTGGAGGGGGCTGCTTTATTGTGGCTGTGGCAACCCAAGCACTCAGGCACAGTGGTTGTGTGTTCCAGGAGTCAACACAGTCACCACTTTGGTGGAGAACAAGAAGGCTCAGCTGGTGGTGATCGCCCACGATGTAGACCCCATTGAGGTAGGTCTGCTGCTTTTAAGCATCAAGCGGGGTGGGTTTTGCTGAATGGAGAAAGGGATCTGTGTGGCTTCTGCAGTGATGTGAATCTTTGACTGAAGTAGCCTTGATGTGCAATTTACATGAGCTTTTTAACCCTGAGCATTTGCCACAGAGTAGCACTGCGGTGCTGCTCCTGCCTGCTCCAAACCCTACCCACACGGTTCATGCGTGCTTGCTTCCAGCTGGTGGTCTTCCTGCCGGCCCTGTGTCGGAAGATGGGCGTCCCCTACTGCATCATCAAGGGGAAGGCCAGGCTGGGACGGCTGGTCCACAGGAAGACATGTACCACCGTTGCCTTCACACAGGTTAACTCGTGAGTATCCAGGCTTGTCCCTACGCTTCCCTTACCCTCCCAAGTTTGGGACCATTTGCCAATGATGGTTAAGAATTTCTTCACCTGAATCTGCTGTGTGGTCATGCTGTGTCTGAGGCCTAAAAAAACCTTATATTAGGAAAAATTATTCCTGCTTCCCCAAAGAGTTTAATAAGGCCTTCCTCCCTTCCTTGACAGGGAAGACAAAGGTGCTCTGGCTAAGCTGGTGGAAGCTATTAGGACCAATTACAACGACAGATACGATGAGGTAAGCGGCTCTATATATACAGTATGGGATTGTTTGGTGCTTTAAGCAATTGCTGGATCTGAGTACCTGCTTGGAACCTATGAATATAGGATGTTACCTGATATCAGGCCAAACTGACTGCTGTTTCTGTCATTTCAGATCCGCCGCCACTGGGGAGGCAATGTCCTGGGTCCTAAATCTGTGGCTCGAATTGCCAAGCTGGAAAAGGCAAAGGCCAAAGAACTCGCCACTAAACTGGGTTAAATGTACACTCACTAAGTTTTCTGTACATAAATACAAACTTATCTTCCATCTAATGGTCTTTGATTATTTGGGTTGGTGTGGTGTAAGTGTTCTAACAAGTTCAAGCCAGGTTTTTAAAAAATAACGTTTATTTTGTGCGATCTCTATTAGGATCAGGTTCATAAGCTTCATATACCTGGTATCCGCCTCACAAATTTTTGAAACCATAAGTATGATGTGGCTGCACACAGTCCATACCTGTAATTGAAAGAAGTTTAGTTGTCAGCCTGTGGGGGGAGGGGAACTCTGACAAGAGGCAGCAGTACTAACCAGGTCATGATGTACTGCATGTGCTCATTCCGAAGGGTGACTCTTGTTTGCCCACCAATGGGTCCCCCGGGGGCTGTGCTTTCTGTAGAGACAGTAGAGTTAACATCCATTCTCAGCACTGTCATTTCTGTGTGACAAAACCCTCAAGATGCTTCCTTCTGCCCCCATGCCACACGGCAGGGTAAACCTGCCAGGGAAAGGAATGGAGAGTTAATATCCAACAGAGCTTGCTCTCCAGGGCAAGCTGCCACAACATACCGAAGTCTGCATCAATGAAAATGGGGTCTGCGCCTGTCATCTTGGCCATAGCCTCCAGGTCCCGATAATGCCAGTGATTCTGTTGTGGACTGTTCTCAGGGACAAAGGGCTTCCTGGTTTCTGTCAGCCTCACTATGCCAACTAGGTCTACTTCTCCGAGAACCTGTGAAAGGAAAGGTGAGACTGCTTTTTAAAGGGATGGACACTAGATGACTTACTGCCATCTTCCAGGCTGAAGAGCCATCTCTTACCTGGCCTTTCTGTCTGGTCTCAGGATTCACTTTCTTCTTGGGAACAAACCCTCTGTTAACCAGGATGGTGACTCTGAAGCAATAATAAAAGTGTTCCTTTGGGTGAGGAAGGGTTCTGGTACAGATCATCACTAACGGTCCCTGCAGCATCTACAGACAGTTAACAGAAACTATGGATCCAGTTGCTTGATGTCAGGATTAGAGATCTTGGCCATCATCAGTGTGTAGTTGGGTCTCCTGGATTCCCCAAAGTCAAAGTGAGGGAAGTTGTCAGGCCTGCTATGGCCTACTCACCCCAAGTCAGAGCAGTGGAAAGGAGTAACTACATAGGCTCCACTTTCCATCGAGGAGGAGATTCTGCCAGCATCGCGGGCCTCTCGGGCAGGGTCCACCATGGTGCGAGGCATCATGTACAGCTCTTTAGAGTGGTCAAAGTGCCCCCTGACTTTCACTGGCCTGTACTCCAGATTCTTCAGTTCCATTAGGCTACAAGAAGAGAGGAAGGGCTGTGGGCAAGTTACCAAGACCTGAGGATCATACAAGGGTAATCAACACCAGCCTTTGATGCCACCAGAGTCCAGCTCTTCAAGGGAAGTGTGTTTCCACCTGGCTACTTAAATTAGCAAACTCCACCTGTTACCTATCCTGAGTTAACACTTGTTGCATAGCTCTTGAGACAACTTTCAAATTTGAGAGGGCAGTATACTTAATGTTGGTCACCTTCATATTGGAGACCTACATTATCACCCACCAGGGCTACAAGGAACTGCCACCACTATAGGGGATCCAGCAAGACCTGAAAAGGAAAACTTGGCATCAACAATACACCTTTCCTATTTTGTTCTATGCTCTTTGGCAGCTTCATAAAGGCAATCAGCCAGCCTAGTGGGAAATTTTGAGGATTCCTGCCCAAGGGCAAAGAAATTACTGAGAAGACACCAAACAAGTCAGGGACCCACTGCCGCTACTAAATAGGATGGAATGGGTGGGCAGCCACACTCACTCTGCAGGCAGAGGGATGGGCTCAGCCAGGACTCGAGATTCTAATTCTGCAATCAGTTTCAGCTTCCATTTCCGACGCTGGACCTACAGAAACATCGTGAGCTAAGCAAACGGCAGTGGGGTCCAAGGCTCAGAGCCACCCAAATTAGAGCCCAGTGTTCACCTGCCAAGTTCCCAAGCCAAAAGCAGTAGCAGGGATGAGAAGCAGGAACCACTGGAGAAAAGAGTCGTCCTCTGCTTTAGTGGCGGCTGCTTCAGCTGTAGAACTGCAGCACCTGCTTGGCCTCCACATCCCTGGAGGAAGTTTTTACAATACTGGCATGGGGTCAGAAGCCCTAGTTCCTGGACAAGACTTAGGGTGTGCCCACAGAGGATGTAGGAGGGACAATTAACAGCACCTGTGCCCAACCCGCTCCCAGTACAATACACCCAGCAGACCAACCACTGAGGGCTGAATGAAGGAAGGTAGGTGTCCCAACCGCACCCAGGTCTGAGCCCTTCTCACCTGAGCGGAATGAAAACCCGAGGACGCTCCCTCTGGCAACGCGGAGCGGGGCCTGCAGGAACCGAACGGGTCGCGGGGCTAAGAAAGCTCAGGGACCTCAAGGACGCCGAGCGCGAGCACCTGACACTGTCCAACCCAGCCCCGCTCAACCTTGGGCTAGGTCCGGAGCAGGGTCCACCCTGCTCCACCCCAGGCAAATTCTTTTGGGCAAGGTCCTCGACCCCATTCCATTCTGGGCTCGATTCTCCCGGCCCCTCGTTTTGGGCAGGGTCCTCCCGCATCCCGCGCTCACCAGCCCCGCGCAGGACCACTGGGGCCACCGCATCATCCGCTGCCGCAGCACAGCGAAAGCCATCACCGCGGCCATCTTTGAACACTTCCGGGACAGAGAAATCTGCTTCCGGGGCGGCGCTCTGCACCACGTGGGAGCAGCGGCGTCAGATGGGTATTTCACATCATGGACCAACTACCCACTGATGTGCAGGCTTTCCTGCGCCAGCACCCCAGCCTGACGCTTTTACCGAACACTCAAAAGGTCCGGGGAGAACCGTGCCGGGGAGGAGTAGGGACTGGAAGAAACGGAACTCGGGAGGAGACCCGGAAGGACCGTTTCGGGGAGGAGTAGGACCCGGGAGTTCTGTGCCTGGAAAGCAATGGGACCCCGGAGGACCGTGCAGGGGAGGGGCGGGGCTGGCAAGAACCACCTTCTGATAGACGGTCCATCCACAGGTTCGCTGCTCCCTAACTGGCCATGAGCTACCCTGCCGACTGCCGGAGCTTCAGGTCTACACCCGCGGCAAGAAGTACCAGCGACTGTCCAGAGCCTCCTCGGACTTCGATTACACAGCGTTAGAGCCACACATCGTGCCCAGCACAAAGAATCCGTACGTAGATGGCCAGCCAGGACCAGGGTGCAGAGCCTGTGCCCCAGTTCTGAGCACATAATGGTCTTCCACTGCCGCTTGCCCTTGCATATAGTCACGCGAGGCGCCACTTTCACCGTTTGGGGTCCCTATGGTTGTGTGGTTGATGTAGCCTCACATGGAACTCCCTGAGCCGTTTCCCCATACACGAGCCCTGGAGCAGTGTAAAACTGCAGTTTCTTTTTCTTGGGTGACAGCCTGGGTCCTTAACTCCAAATGCTGAGTGGAATTGTTTGTGAAGCTGTTTTTGAAAGTAAGCCTGTGTAGCTTGGTTGGCCGGGAATTTGTTGTGTAAACCAGGCTAACCTCAACTCAGAGATCATCCTACCTCTGTGCCTCCTGGATGCTGGGATTACAGGCCCTGCAGTTGGGGAGTTTTTCACAGTCCAGACACCGAGACTAAATGCAGAGCATCTCCAGCAGAACTTCAGGTGTTTGCAGCTTGCAGTCGTGATGGAGCCCATAGGTCTGTCTGGTCCTTGGTATACACGTTTCCCCATATCCATGTTTGCTCTGTAGGCACCAACTGTTCTGCAAGCTCACCCTGAGGCACATCAACAAGTTCCCAGAGCATGTGCTGAGGCACACCCAGGGCCGGAGGTACCAGAGAGCACTTCGTCAATGTAAGTCACCACCAGCGAGGCTCAGGCCTTAGGATGTATGTCCCCTGTCCCCAAAAGCCAGAAAGGTGCCTTGATCATCCTTCACTGGCCACTGTTGGTATACTTGGTTGGTTTTGCACATAAGGAGAGGGCCAGTGGCCCCTGACCTCACCACTGTAAAGCCACAGTGGGCTGGAAAGGAGTTGTGGTCAGTGGTGTGGAGACCTGCTGTTAGGGACAATCTCCGGGCAGCTCTCAGGCTGATGTTGCAGTGCCAAAACTCCAGAACAAGTTCAGAGTCATCTGATACTGCAGGAGAGCCTGGGGGACTGTTGGCAGGACCTGGAGGACAAACAGCCCTCTAGGCTGCAGACGAAAGGGGTGATGGCTTGAGCAGGGAAGGGGACTTGCTGACAGGCCTCAGGTGTTTGATGGATACAGCCAAGGGTAGGAAGGCATCAAGAGTGGTTGAGAGTGGGGACTCCTGTGGTATTTCAACTTCCAGGTGGGTTAGGGAAGATGGTGCCAGCCAGGAGTTGAGAGATGAGGTCAGCTTGAGCACGAGGGAGGTGAATGAAGGTCTCCCATGTCACCATAGGAAGATGAGGGTAAGAAAGTGACTGAGAGCCGGGCGTTGGTGGCGCACGCCTTTAATCCCAGCACTCGGGAGGTAGAGGCAGGCGGATCTCGAGTTCGAGGCCAGCCTGGTCTACAGAGCGAGAGCGAGTTCCAGGACAGCCTCCAAAGCCACAGAGAAACCCTGTCTCGAAAAACCAAAAAAAAAAAAAAAAGTGACTGAGATTAGGACTTGGGGGCTGCTGGGGTGGAGGAGTTAGGCAGAACCAGGCCTTGGCAAGGACGACTTGGGGGTGGGGTTGCAGAGGCTGGGGGTGAGAGAGAGGCTTCAGGGGTTGCACTACTGTCCAGTCCAATGGGCAAGAATTCAGAGGTTGGTAAGGAATGTGCAGGCTATATCCTTCGTAGCACAGCCAGATCCTCCCACACATCTTGGAGCTCCTGGAGCTGGCACCTGGGCTACACTCAAGTGGCAGCTAAGGCTTGGATATGCCTTTGATAGCTTTGTCATCTGCTGGGTTGTGGCAGGGAGGTGCTGGGCAGGGATCCCCAGGAGAATTATAAAGATGTACCAAAGAGCCAGAAGGCAGTGAGGTCACTTCAGGTTGGCCTGCTGGAGACAATGGGCAGAGACTTTGTGCCGGTACTCATGAGGAGGCCAAAGTGGTCCTGGGAGCAGAAGGCAGAAAGAGTGGAGAAAAGGCTTCAGAGATGCCATGTCCTGGTTAGACACTGTCACCCCAAGAGCCATAATGGCTAGAGCCTGCCCCCCCCCCCAGGAGATGGTGCTGGACCAAGTGGGAAGCCCAAGCTCAGACCCCTTAGGACCTGAGGACAGCAGCGGTGACCCTAGCATGGCCTTCCATGAAGTCTCGTCCCAGCTCCAAGTTTGAGAGACATGAGACAAGGCAGCTTCCCTGAGCTCCATAGCCCCCAGATTGTCCATTTCTGTCCGTAGGGTAAAGGAATAGAACCCTGCCACAATATAGCCCACATCTTAGCTCCGCACCAAGAGGGCACCAGTGTAAACTTGCTCATCTCTTAGATGAGGAGTGTCAGAAACAAGGTGTGGAGTATGTCCCTGCCTGCCTACTGCACAAGAAGAGAAAGAGGGAGGACCACATGGACGGAGATGGGCTGTCTGGCCAGAGAACAGCTTTCTGGGAGCCAGCTTCCAGTGATGAAGGATCCTTGAGCGATGACAGCATGACAGACCTATACCCACGTAAGCAGGCACTGCCCAACTCCTGTCTTCGTGTGAGTCTCCTAAGTATCTTGTGGTCCTGCCGGGCGGTGGTGGTGCACGCCTTTAATCCCAGCACTCGGGAGGCAGAGACAGGCGGATCTCTGTGAGTTCAAGGCCGGGCTAGACCGACAGCCTCCAAAACAATACAGAGAAACCCTGTCTCGTAAAACCAAAAAAAAAAAAAAAAGTATCTTGTGGTTCTGATTTGTTAACCATGTTTCCCAGGAAAGCAGTGCTTTTACCTGTGGCATAGCTCAGCCAGGATGTTTGTTCCTTCCAGCTGAGCTATTCACACAAAAAGATCTGGGCAAGCCTGAGAATGATACTCCTGAAGACTTTCTGACAGACCAAGAGGAAGAGAAGCCAAAGCAGTCAAGAGAGAAGGGCACTGGGGAGAGGAGAGAGACCAAAGTGGACCACATGAGGGACCGTAAACTCAGGAAGGTGAGTTGTGTGTTGCAAGGTGCTGAGGTCAGGAGGGCTACACGGCCCAGGCTGAGTGGACAGTTAGTTAGTGCATGGTTTTAGCAAATTCTGCAAGTAACAGCTTGTAAACCTGGAAGCCAAGGCCACTTCAGAAGGTGTCCAGGAACAGGTCCTGACCAAGGGTTTCTCAGTTCTGAGCTGGGTACCCTACAACACAGGACTCAGTCCCTATGTGGCAGGAGTGGGGATTCTGTCAGAGGAGCAGGATGGACAAAGTCTGTAATGAACCATGTGGCCCTCTGCCTGGCCCCATACTGTCAAGAGAGCAGACTCCTCTTCAGCCTTAGACACACAGCAGCTTCCCTGTGGACTTGCAAAGCCCTGGTCACTTTTCTACTTTCACAGAAGCAGTTCACCTCGTTGACCAAGAAGTTCAAGAGCCATCATCACCACAAGCCCAAGAACTTCAGTTCCTTTAAGCAGCTGGGGAAATGAAGCATGCAGAGAAACTTGGAACTGGTCACTGACATCCTGACATTGGCTGTTTGTGGACCTGGAGGTTGTGTTCAGAAGATGGCAACAGTAGAGACTTGAAGATTCCTCTCCGTGCATGGTCTTCTGTTCCCCTTGCTGATGGAGCTCACTAGAGCATCCTGAGCTTGGCCAGGTCCCCACCCTGGCTGATCACCACAAAGGCTCACACTATATACCACAAATGCCATTATTTATTTTGATGTTTCCAAAGATCAAAACATTTTTCAAACACAACTAAGATATAAAATACAGCATAAAAATGAGGTTTATACCTATTCCCACATAAAGCTAAAGCATTTTCAGAAACCATTTTGCCAAACGAATGTGTAGACCATTTTTTTTTCTCCCATCCCAGGCATAGCCCACAAAAGGTTGGTAGATGAGCCAGGGCACACTTGGGATGGGGGCCACTGCTGGGAGGCATGCACTTGCCTCCTAGGGTCTGCCCCATTCCACAAACTGGAATGTCATGGGGCTGTCACTGCAGGTAACAAAGCAGATGGGTATACTCTGAGACAGCTCTCCTTGTCAAAGGACTGGATGGTAAGGAAATGTCACGGCCTGAGCCAATGCTGGAACTCACATGGGGAGGAGTAGGCAGACCATGAGGCTGCAGAGCATGGACTGGGTGTTGAGAAGTGGATTTAGAGCCAGAGAGGCAAGGGGAAGAGGCAGGATTGACCCAAGGTGACTCAGGACACAGTCCTGCCTACCCCGCTGATGCCAGAAAGGAGGACCTCCAGGACTCTGCACCCAAGGGTGAGATGAGCTGCCAGCTCCCCTCCAGGGGTTCTAAGCCTGTCTACCTATTCCCTGGACCTGAGGGAGGTCCAGGAGGAGCCCAACTACCCTTGTGGCACTGCCATGAAGACGAGCAGGACCACAGAATTAGACATCCCCTCCCACCCCCCAAAAAGAGAAACACGGTGTAAGGCAATGTTAGAAAACTTTAAATACAGGACTAAGATCAAATTGGTAAGGCATCACAAATTGTAAAAAGTATCTTGGCTGCATCCAGCAGAGCAAGTTGACAAAAATCTGAGCAAGCAACAGCCTCAGGGAAATGGTGGCATCA